AATGCGCTTCGTTACTGGCGTTTGGTACCGAATTCACGCCCTTTTTTTGACTCTTTTCGAACCTGTTATGAATTCATTTCCATGCCATTGTCAATTCTAATGATTTCCTCATCCTCTGTCGACCCTGCGTACTTGTTTCCTTGTGTGTTTTTTGAATGAATTGTCGTTCAGTTCTGCGCGTCAAACTCATTTCCTCCCTGTACATTCGATATTCTGTGAACAATTCGATTTTCTTTTCACTTCCACATGACATGTAGATCGAAGTAGTTAACTCAAAAAGAGAGGGACACTGCATTAACCACTCTTTCATTTCCTCCCTGTACATTCCATACTCTGTGAAGAAGACCAAACGTCAGTTTAAGAAAGTTTTCCATGAATGATCACGAACTGTTGATTAAACTGACCTCAACAGTTTAGGTTCATTTATTTACTAGATTTTGCACTGAATAAATATTAATTTCTATGCCTCTGTTCCTGTACTTCCACGTATCTTATCTTTATTTACTCTTCTCTTATTTTGTGAGGCTACTTCCCCCCCCCCCACACACACACACATTTTCTTCTGCAAAAGAGAATTTTTCGCCTTCTGTTTTTACATGTTCTTGTACGCGTTTTACTCATCGCTGAGATTCCTGTTATTTATTCCCATGTCCGTATTTTGATTAATTAAAGATTTCATTTTATTTTATTGGGTGTCTAGCCATTAATAAGACCTCACAATTTCTTAATCCCGTTTCTGTTTCTTTCTTTCTTTATTAAGATGTTCTTAAATAAGCAATTCATTTTTTTTGTTTAGGTAATTACTAATACTGCGGCTACCTGCATGAGGGACGGACGTCTGTTATGCATGTTACAAATTCATGAAACCAATATTCAGCGATCCGACCGCTGCGCCGCCAGTTTCCCTGTAAGATTTCTTTTTATTTAATTAAAATTTTCGTAACATACATGAATGAATTCCATCGGATATTTTTTAGGATAATTCATTTCGGTTCATATTTTTTTTTTAATTTAAATTTTTCGTTACATACCTGTTTAGGTTTCATCACAGTTTTTTTGCTATAATTTTTGTGTTTACTTTTTTTGAGTAGTGATTTCCCTCATCCTCTGTCGACCCTGCGTACTTGTTTCCTTGTGTGTTTTGAATGAATTGTCGTTCAGTTCTGCGCGTCAAACTCATTTCCTCCCCTCCCTGTACATTCGATATTCTGTGAACAATTCGATTTTCTTTTCACTTCCACATGACATGTAGATCGAAGTAGTTAACTCAAAAAGAGAGGGACACTGCATTCTACCACTCTTTCATTTCCTCCCTGTACATTCCATACTCTGTGAAGAAGACCAAACGTCAGTTTAAGAAAGTTTTCCATGAATGATCACGAACTGTTGATTAAAACTGACCTCAACAGTTTAGGTTCATTTATTTACTAGATTTTGCACTGAATAAATATTAATTTCTATGCCTCTGTTCCTGTACTTCCACGTATCTTATCTTTATTTACTTCTCTTATTTTGTGAGGCTACTTCCCCCCCCCCACACACACACATTTTCTTCTGCAAAAGAGAATTTTTCGCCTTCTGTTTTTACATGTTCTTGTACGCGTTTTACTCATCGCTGAGATTCCTGTTATTTATTCCCATGTCCGTATTTTGATTAATTAAAGATTTCATTTTATTTTATTGGGTGTCTAGCCATTAATAAGACCTCACAATTTCTTAATCCCGTTTCTGTTTCTTTCTTTCTTTATTAAGATGTTCTTAAATAAGCAATTCATTTTTTTTTTTTGTTTAGGTAATACTGCGGGCTACCTGCATGAGGGACGGACGTCTGTTATGCATGTTACAAATTCATGAAACCAATATTCAGCGATCCGACCGCTGCGCCGCCAGTTTCCCTGTAAGATTTCTTTTTATTTAATTAAAATTTTCGTAACATACATGAATGAATTCCATCGGATATTTTTTAGGATAATTCATTTCGGTTCATATTTTTTTTTAATTTAAATTTTCGTTACATACCTGTTTAGGTTTCATCACAGTTTTTTGCTATAATTTTTGTTTAACACCCTAACACTTCTTTTGAGTATCATTTTCTTTTTCATAACTAACAGTTCATTACAGTAATATTTTTATGTATGTATACTTTTACTTACTTTATTTTAAATACATACATATTTCAAATTCCTTTTTCATTTCAATGGCGCTTCCACGTGACTGTTTTTTAATTCTGGTAGCACTCCTAAGGCGACTTCGTTACTTTCTGGCAACCTTTTAACACGTTTTCGCTCAATTTAATTTTGGAAACCAAACGTGAAAGGACGCAGGTATAGATAGGTAGATAGAGTTAGATAGATAGATAGATAGATAGACAGATAGATATATAGAGAGAGAGTGAGTGAGTGAGTGAGAGAGAGAGAGAGAGCATGTATATAGATGTGTTTTTTGTGTTTGATTAAATTTCTATTGAAATATTTATTGATTTATTGCATGTGTGAAATCCCGAAAATCTGTGATAGTAGCCTTACATATCACATATGCGTTTCCCTCCTTCTAACAATGTCCTTCTAACAATTAATGTAACTCCAATAATACTAACAATTAATGTAACAATTAATGTAACTCCAATAATACTAACAATTAATGTAACAATTAATTTAACTCCAATAATACTAACAATTAATGTAACTCCTTCTAACAATTAATGTGTTCATATAGATGTGTGTGTATTCAATTTAATTTCTATTTAAATATTTATTGAATGAGTGCAAGTGCAGCTATGAAATCCCGAGTATGTGCTGTGAAAGTAGCCTTACATTTTACATACGTGTTTCCCTCCCTGTTGCATGTTCTTTATATGTATATTTCTACTTTATTTATGTTCTTTTAATTTCAAAATTATAATGTGTGTAGCATGTGTTTATATAGATGTGTGTATATTCAGTTAAATTCCTATTTAAATATTTATTGAATTTGTGCATTTGTGTCTCCCTCCCTGTAACATGTTTTGTTTTCAGTTTTATTTATTTGTGTTCATTTACATTCAACTTTATTTTATGCCTTCGTGGAGGTCTTCTCACATAAAATACAAAAATGACTTGAAAAAAAACTGGTCCGTATTTACGTGACACATGAGGGAAACCACGAAAACCCCATGCAACCAGTCTGTTCAATCATTATGCATAAATTTATACTATAAAAACAAGAACTCAAAACTTTAAAAGTTTCGCGTTAAACAAGAAAGCATGCAATTTTTTACACGGTTAGCGTGTTTGGCCCCTGCGGGGAGACTATGTGCGCGCCTTCGGCGCGCACCAGGAGGGGGGCCAAACACACAAACCGGGGACTTTGCCTAAACCGACTGATCGCCATCACCTCACTGCGGCTTCGCCGCACTGCGGTCGATGCGATCACTATATTCCAAAAACAAGTTATGGCAATTCTAAAAAAGTTTTGTGATACACTGCTTCTACAACTCTTTATTCTCATAAAAATTTCGATTCCATTTCAAAAATTATAGCAAGCACAACTCTTTCTGAGTGCTCCCGTTACAGTTTCCGAAAGAACATTCACATTTATTCAACTCTATTTACATTTGTTGAATTTGCTTTTCTAACAATTCCTTTCAACAGTTCAGCTTTGCTAACAGTTTGATGTAACTCTCATAGCTTTCTCACCGTTGAATTAGAACAATATCCGATAAAGTATTTCAACTTTTCATTCCACTTTCAAAGGTGGTGTAAGCATTTTCCACTAATTATTTAAAAGTTTATTTCCTTGAACAGACTTTATTTTCATTCCTTTTTTCTCAGAAAGAAACTGCATTCATTTACTTCTTTTTCCACTCTGTTTGCATCTGAAAGAAACCCTGAACAGATAAGGGACACTGTGTTCATTCTTTACTTCTGCGTGACGCACATAAAAGCTGCATTGAAATGCGCTTCGTTACTGGCGTTTGGTACCGAATTCACGCCCTTTTTTTGACTCTTTTCGAACCTGTTATGAATTCATTTCCATGCCATTGTCAATTCTAATGATTTCCTCATCCTCTGTCGACCCTGCGTACTTGTTTCCTTGTGTGTTTTGAATGAATTGTCGTTCAGTTCTGCGCGTCAAACTCATTTCCTCCTTCCTCCCCCTGTACATTCGATATTCTGTGAACAATTCGATTTTCTTTTCACTTCCACATGACATGTAGATCGAAGTAGTTAACTCAAAAAGAGAGGGACACTGCATTCTACCACTCTTTCATTTCCTCCCTGTACATTCCATACTCTGTGAAGAAGACCAAACGTCAGTTTAAGAAAGTTTTCCATGAATGATCACGAACTGTTGATTAAAACTGACCTCAACAGTTTAGGTTCATTTATTTACTAGATTTTGCACTGAATAAATATTAATTTCTATGCCTCTGTTCCTGTACTTCCACGTATCTTATCTTTATTTACTTCTCTTATTTTGTGAGGCTACTTCCCCCCCCCCCACACACACACACATTTTCTTCTGCAAAAGAGAATTTTTCGCCTTCTGTTTTTACATGTTCTTGTACGCGTTTTACTCATCGCTGAGATTCCTGTTATTTATTCCCATGTCCGTATTTTGATTAATTAAAGATTTCATTTTATTTTATTGGGTGTCTAGCCATTAATAAGACCTCACAATTTCTTAATCCCGTTTCTGTTTCTTTCTTTCTTTATTAAGATGTTCTTAAATAAGCAATTCATTTTTTTTTGTTTAGGTAATACTGCGGCTACCTGCATGAGGGACGGACGTCTGTTATGCATGTTACAAATTCATGAAACCAATATTCAGCGATCCGACCGCTGCGCCGCCAGTTTCCCTGTAAGATTTCTTTTTATTTAATTAAAATTTTCGTAACATACATGAATGAATTCCATCGAATTTTTTTTGAGGATAATTCATTTCGGTTCATATTTTTTTTTAATTTAAATTTTCGTTACATACCTGTTTAGGTTTCATCACAGTTTTTTGCTATAATTTTTGTTTAACACCTAACACTTCTTTTGAGTATCATTTTCTTTTTCATAACTAACAGTTCATTACAGTAATATTTTTATGTATGTATACTTTTACTTACTTTATTTTAAATACATACATATTTCAAATTCCTTTTTCATTTCAATGGCGCTTCCACGTGACTGTTTTTTAATTCTGGTAGCACTCCTAAGGCGACTTCGTTACTTTCTGGCAACCTTTTAACACGTTTTCGCTCAATTTAATTTTGGAAACCAAACGTGAAAGGACGCAGGTATAGATAGGTAGATAGAGTTAGATAGATAGATAGATAGATAGATAGACAGATAGATATAGATAGAGAGAGAGTGAGTGAGTGAGTGAGTGAGAGAGAGAGAGAGAGAGAGCATGTATATAGATGTGTTTTTTGTGTTTGATTAAATTTCTATTGAAATATTTATTGATTTATTGCATGTGTGAAATCCCGAAAATCTGTGATAGTAGCCTTACATATCACATATGCGTTTCCCTCCTTCTAACAATGTCCTTCTAACAATTAATGTAACTCCAATAATACTAACAATTAATGTAACAATTAATGTAACAATTAATGTAACTCCAATAATACTAACAATTAATGTAACTCCTCCTTCTAACAATTAATGTGTTCATATAGATGTGTGTGTATTCAATTTAATTTCTATTTAAATATTTATTGAATGAGTGCAAGTGCAGCTATGAAATCCCGAGTATGTGCTGTGAAAGTAGCCTTACATTTTACATACGTGTTTCCCTCCCTGTTGCATGTTCTTTATATGTATATTTCTACTTTATTTATGTTCTTTTAATTTCAAAATTATAATGTGTGTGTAGCATGTGTTTATATAGATGTGTGTATATTCAGTTAAATTCCTATTTAAATATTTATTGAATTTGTGCATTTGTGTCTCCCTCCCTGTAACATGCTTGTTTTTTCAGTTTTATTTATTTGTGTTCATTTACATTCAACTTTATTTTATGCCTTCGTGGAGGTCTTCTCACATAAAATACAAAAATGACTTGAAAAAACTGGTCCGTATTTACGTGACACATGAGGGAAACCACGAAAACCCCATGCAACCAGTCTGTTCAATCATTATGCATAAATTTATACTATAAAAACAAGAACTCAAAACTTTAAAAGTTTCGCGTTAAACAAGAAAGCATGCAATTTTTTACACGGTTAGCGTGTTTGGCCCCTGCGGGGAGACTATGTGCGCGCCTTCGGCGCGCACCAGGAGGGGGGCCAAACACACAAACCGGGGACTTTGCCTAAACCGACTGATCGCCATCACCTCACTGCGGCTTCGCCGCACTGCGGTCGATGCGATCACTATATTCCAAAAACAAGTTATGGCAATTCTAAAAAAAAGTTTTGTGATACACTGCTTCTACAACTCTTTATTCTCATAAAAATTTCGATTCCATTTCAAAAATTATAGCAAGCACAACTCTTTCTGAGTGCTCCCGTTACAGTTTCCGAAAGAACATTCACATTTATTCAACTCTATTTACATTTGTTGAATTTGCTTTTCTAACAATTCCTTTCAACAGTTCAGCTTTGCTAACAGTTTGATGTAACTCTCATAGCTTTCTCACCGTTGAATTAGAACAATATCCGATAAAGTATTTCAACTTTTCATTCCACTTTCAAAGGTGGTGTAAGCATTTTCCACTAATTATTTAAAAGTTTATTTCCTTGAACAGACTTTATTTTCATTCCTTTTTTCTCAGAAAGAAACTGCATTCATTCATTTACTTCTTTTTCCACTCTGTTTGCATCTGAAAGAAACCCTGAACAGATAAGGGACACTGTGTTCATTCTTTACTTCTGCGTGACGCACATAAAAGCTGCATTGAAATGCGCTTCGTTACTGGCGTTTGGTACCGAATTCACGCCCTTTTTTTGACTCTTTTCGAACCTGTTATGAATTCATTTCCATGCCATTGTCAATTCTAATGATTTCCTCATCCTCTGTCGACCCTGCGTACTTGTTTCCTTGTGTGTTTTGAATGAATTGTCGTTCAGTTCTGCGCGTCAAACTCATTTCCTCCCTGTACATTCGATATTCTGTGAACAATTCGATTTTCTTTTCACTTCCACATGACATGTAGATCGAAGTAGTTAACTCAAAAAGAGAGGGACACTGCATTCTACCACTCTTTCATTTCCTCCCTGTACATTCCATACTCTGTGAAGAAGACCAAACGTCAGTTTAAGAAAGTTTTCCATGAATGATCACGAACTGTTGATTAAAACTGACCTCAACAGTTTAGGTTCATTTATTTACTAGATTTTGCACTGAATAAATATTAATTTCTATGCCTCTGTTCCTGTACTTCCACGTATCTTATCTTTATTTACTTCTCTTATTTTGTGAGGCTACTTCCCCCCCCCCACACACACACACACATTTTCTTCTGCAAAAGAGAATTTTTCGCCTTCTGTTTTTACATGTTCTTGTACGCGTTTTACTCATCGCTGAGATTCCTGTTATTTATTCCCATGTCCGTATTTTGATTAATTAAAGATTTCATTTTATTTTATTGGGTGTCTAGCCATTAATAAGACCTCACAATTTCTTAATCCCGTTTCTGTTTCTTTCTTTCTTTCTTTATTAAGATGTTCTTAAATAAGCAATTCATTTTTTTTTTGTTTAGGTAATACTGCGGCTACCTGCATGAGGGACGGACGTCTGTTATGCATGTTACAAATTCATGAAACCAATATTCAGCGATCCGACCGCTGCGCCGCCAGTTTCCCTGTAAGATTTCTTTTTATTTAATTAAAATTTTCGTAACATACATGAATGAATTCCATCCATCGGATATTTTTTAGGATAATTCATTTCGGTTCATATTTTTTTTTTAATTTAAATTTTCGTTACATACCTGTTTTTAGGTTTCATCACAGTTTTTTGCTATAATTTTTGTTTAACACCTAACACTTCTTTTGAGTATCATTTTCTTTTTTCATAACTAACAGTTCATTACAGTAATATTTTTATGTATGTATACTTTTACTTACTTTATTTTAAATACATACATATTTCAAATTCCTTTTTCATTTCAATGGCGCTTCCACGTGACTGTTTTTTAATTCTGGTAGCACTCCTAAGGCGACTTCGTTACTTTCTGGCAACCTTTTAACACGTTTTCGCTCAATTTAATTTTGGAAACCAAACGTGAAAGGACGCAGGTATAGATAGGTAGATAGAGTTAGATAGATAGATAGATAGATAGATAGACAGATAGATAGAGAGAGAGAGTGAGTGAGTGAGTGAGAGAGAGAGAGAGAGAGAGCATGTATATAGATGTGTTTTTTTGTGTTTGATTAAATTTCTATTGAAATATTTATTGATTTATTGCATGTGTGAAATCCCGAAAATCTGTGATAGTAGCCTTACATATCACATATGCGTTTCCCTCCTCCTTCTAACAATGTCCTTCTAACAATTAATGTAACTCCAATAATACTAACAATTAATGTAACAATCCAATAATGTAACAATTAATGTAACTCCAATAATACTAACAATTAATGTAACAATTAATTTAACTCCAATAATAATACTAACAATTAATGTAACTCCTTCTAACAATTAATGTGTTCATATAGATGTGTGTGTATTCAATTTAATTTCTATTTAAATATTTATTGAATGAGTGCAAGTGCAGCTATGAAATCCCGAGTATGTGCTGTGAAAGTAGCCTTACATTTTACATACGTGTTTCCCTCCCTGTTGCATGTTCTTTATATGTATATTTCTACTTTATTTATGTTCTTTTAATTTCAAAATTATAATGTGTGTAGCATGTGTTTATATAGATGTGTGTATATTCAGTTAAATTCCTATTTAAATATTTATTGAATTTGTGCATTTGTGTCTCCCTCCCTGTAACATGTTTGTTTTCAGTTTTATTTATTTGTGTTCATTTACATTCAACTTTATTTTATGCCTTCGTGGAGGTCTTCTCACATAAAATACAAAAATGACTTGAAAAAACTGGTCCGTATTTACGTGACACATGAGGGAAACGAAACCACGAAAACCCCATGCAACCAGTCTGTTCAATCATTATGCATAAATTTATACTATAAAAACAAGAACTCAAAACTTTAAAAGTTTCGCGTTAAACAAGAAAGCATGCAATTTTTTACACGGTTAGCGTGTTTGGCCCCTGCGGGGAGACTATGTGCGCGCCTTCGGCGCGCACCAGGAGGGGGGCCAAACACACAAACCGGGGACTTTGCCTAAACCGACTGATCGCCATCACCTCACTGCGGCTTCGCCGCACTGCGGTCGATGCGATCACTATATTCCAAAAACAAGTTATGGCAATTCTAAAAAGTTTTGTGATACACACTGCTTCTACAACTCTTTATTCTCATAAAAATTTCGATTCCATTTCAAAAATTATAGCAAGCACAACTCTTTCTGAGTGCTCCCGTTACAGTTTCCGAAAGAACATTCACATTTATTCAACTCTATTTACATTTGTTGAATTTGCTTTTCTAACAATTCCTTTCAACAGTTCAGCTTTGCTAACAGTTTGATGTAACTCTCATAGCTTTCTCACCACCGTTGAATTAGAAACAATATCCGATAAAGTATTTCAACTTTTCATTCCACTTTCAAAGGTGGTGTAAGCATTTTCCACTAATTATTTAAAAGTTTATTTCCTTGAACAGACTTTATTTTCATTCCTTTTTTCTCAGAAAGAAACTGCATTCATTTACTTCTTTTTTCCACTCTGTTTGCATCTGAAAGAAACCCTGAACAGATATAAGGGACACTGTGTTCATTCTTTACTTCTGCGTGACGCACATAAAAGCTGCATTGAAATGCGCTTCGTTACTGGCGTTTGGTACCGAATTCACGCCCTTTTTTTGACTCTTTTCGAACCTGTTATGAATTCATTTCCATGCCATTGTCAATTCTAATGATTTCCTCATCCTCTGTCGACCCTGCGTACTTGTTTCCTTGTGTGTTTTTGAATGAATTGTCGTTCAGTTCTGCGCGTCAAACTCATTTCCTCCCTGTACATTCGATATTCTGTGAACAATTCGATTTTCTTTTCACTTCCACATGACATGTAGATCGAAGTAGTTAACTCAAAAAGAGAGGGACACTGCATTCTACCACTCTTTCATTTCCTCCCTGTACATTCCATACTCTGTGAAGAAGACCAAACGTCAGTTTAAGAAAGTTTTCCATGAATGATCACGAACTGTTGATTAAAACTGACCTCAACAGTTTAGGTTCATTTATTTACTAGATTTTGCACTGAATAAATATTAATTTCTATGCCTCTGTTCCTGTACTTCCACGTATCTTATCTTTATTTACTTCTCTTATTTTGTGAGGCTACTTCCCCCCCCACACCCACACACATTTTCTTTTTCTTCTGCAAAAGAGAATTTTTCGCCTTCTGTTTTTACATGTTCTTGTACGCGTTTTACTCATCGCTGAGATTCCTGTTATTTATTCCCATGTCCGTATTTTGATTAATTAAAGATTTCATTTTATTTTATTGGGTGTCTAGCCATTAATAAGACCTCACAATTTCTTAATCCCGTTTCTGTTTCTTTCTTTCTTTATTAAGATGTTCTTAAATAAGCAATTCATTTTTTTTTTTGTTTAGGTAATACTGCGGCTACCTGCATGAGGGACGGACGTCTGTTATGCATGTTACAAATTCATGAAACCAATATTCAGCGATCCGACCGCTGCGCCGCCAGTTTCCCTGTAAGATTTCTTTTTATTTAATTAAAATTTTCGTAACATACATGAATGAATTCCATCGGATATTTTTTTAGGATAATTCATTTCGGTTCATATTTTTTTTTTTTAATTTAAATTTTCGTTACATACCTGTTTAGGTTTCATCACAGTTTTTTGCTATAATTTTTGTTTAACACCTAACACTTCTTTTGAGTATCATTTTCTTTTTCATAACTAACAGTTCATTACAGTAATATTTTTATGTATGTATACTTTTACTTACTTTATTTTAAATACATACATATTTCAAATTCCTTTTTCATTTCAATGGCGCTTCCACGTGACTGTTTTTTAATTCTGGTAGCACTCCTAAGGCGACTTCGTTACTTTCTGGCAACCTTTTAACACGTTTTCGCTCAATTTAATTTTGGAAACCAAACGTGAAAGGACGCAGGTATAGATAGGTAGATAGAGTTAGATAGATAGATAGATAGATAGACAGATAGATATATATATAGAGAGAGAGAGAGTGAGTGAGTGAGTGAGAGAGAGAGAGAGAGAGAGAGAGCATGTATATAGATGTGTTTTTTGTGTTTGATTAAATTTCTATTGAAATATTTATTGATTTATTGCATGTGTGAAATCCCGAAAATCTGTGATAGTAGCCTTACATATCACATATGCGTTTCCCTCCTTCTAACAATGTCCTTCTAACAATCCTTCTAACAATTAATGTAACTCCAATAATACTAACAATTAATGTAACAATTAATTTAACTCCAATAATACTAACAATTAATGTAACTCCTTCTAACAATTAATGTGTTCATATAGATGTGTGTGTATTCAATTTAATTTCTATTTAAATATTTATTGAATGAGTGCAAGTGCAGCTATGAAATCCCGAGTATGTGTGCTGTGAAAGTAGCCTTACATTTTACATACGTGTTTCCCTCCCTGTTGCATGTTCTTTATATGTATATTTCTATATTTCTACTTTATTTATGTTCTTTTAATTTCAAAATTATAATGTGTGTAGCATGTGTTTATATAGATGTGTGTATATTCAGTTAAATTCCTATTTAAATATTTATTGAATTTGTGCATTTGTGTCTCCCTCCCTGTAACATGTTTGTTTTCAGTTTTATTTATTATTTGTGTTCATTTACATTCAACTTTATTTTATGCCTTCGTGGAGGTCTTCTCACATAAAATACAAAAATGACTTGAAAAAACTGGTCCGTATTTACGTGACACATGAGGGAAACCACGAAAACCCCATGCAACCAGTCTGTTCAATCATTATGCATAAATTTATACTATAAAAACAAGAACTCAAAACTTTAAAAGTTTCGCGTTAAACAAGAAAGCATGCAATTTTTTAAGTCACGGTTAGCGTGTTTGGCCCCTGCGGGGAGACTATGTGCGCGCCTTCGGCGCGCACCAGGAGGGGGGCCAAACACACAAACCGGGGACTTTGCCTAAACCGACTGATCGCCATCACCTCACTGCGGCTTCGCCGCACTGCGGTCGATGCGATCACTATATTCCAAAAACAAGTTATGGCAATTCTAAAAAGTTTTGTGATACACTGCTTCTACAACTCTTTATTCTCATAAAAATTTCGATTCCATTTCAAAAATTATAGCAAGCACAACTCTTTCTGAGTGCTCCCGTTACAGTTTCCGAAAGAACATTCACATTTATTCAACTCTATTTACATTTGTTGAATTTGCTTTTCTAACAATTCCTTTCAACAGTTCAGCTTTGCTAACAGTTTGATGTAACTCTCATAGCTTTCTCACCGTTGAATTAGAACAATATCCGATAAAGTATTTCAACTTTTCATTCCACTTTCAAAGGTGGTGTAAGCATTTTCCACTAATTATTTAAAAGTTTATTTCCTTGAACAGACTTTATTTTCATTCCTTTTTTTCTCAGAAAGAAACTGCATTCATTTACTTCTTTTTCCACTCTGTTTGCATCTGAAAGAAACCCTGAACAGATAAGGGACACTGTGTTCATTCTTTACTTCTGCGTGACGCACATAAAAGCTGCATTGAAATGCGCTTCGTTACTGGCGTTTGGTACCGAATTCACGCCCTTTTTTTGACTCTTTTCGAACCTGTTATGAATTCATTTCCATGCCATTGTCAATTCTAATGATTTCCTCATCCTCTGTCGACCCTGCGTACTTGTTTCCTTGTGTGTTTTTGAATGAATTGTCGTTCAGTTCTGCGCGTCAAACTCATTTCCTCCTTTCCTGTCCTCCCTGTACATTCGATATTCTGTGAACAATTCGATTTTCTTTTCACTTCCACATGACATGTAGATCGAAGTAGTTAACTCAAAAAGAGAGGGACACTGCATTCTACCACTCTTTCATTTCCTCCCTGTACATTCCATACTCTGTGAAGAAGACCAAACGTCAGTTTAAGAAAGTTTTCCATGAATGATCACGAACTGTTGATTAAAACTGACCTCAACAGTTTAGGTTCATTTATTTACTAGATTTTGCACTGAATAAATATTAATTTCTATGCCTCTGTTCCTGTACTTCCACGTATCTTATCTTTATTTACTTCTCTTATTTTGTGAGGCTACTTCCCCCCCCCCCCCCCACACACACACATTTTCTTCTGCAAAAGAGAATTTTTCGCCTTCTGTTTTTACATGTTCTTGTACGCGTTTTACTCATCGCTGAGATTCCTGTTATTTATTCCCATGTCCGTATTTTGATTAATTAAAGATTTCATTTTATTTTATTGGGTGTCTAGCCATTAATAAGACCTCACAATTTCTTAATCCCGTTTCTGTTTCTTTCTTTCTTTATTAAGATGTTCTTAAATAAGCAATTCATTTTTTTTTTTGTTTAGGTAATACTGCGGCTACCTGCATGAGGGACGGACGTCTGTTATGCATGTTACAAATTCATGAAACCAATATTCAGCGATCCGACCGCTGCGCCGCCAGTTTCCCTGTAAGATTTCTTTTTATTTAATTAAAATTTTCGTAACATACATGAATGAATTCCATCGGATATTTTTTAGGATAATTCATTTCGGTTCATATTTTTTTTTTTAATTTAAATTTTCGTTACATACCTGTTTAGGTTTCATCACAGTTTTTTGCTATAATTTTTGTTTAACACCTAACACTTCTTTTGAGTATCATTTTCTTTTTCATAACTAACAGTTCATTACAGTAATATTTTTTATGTATGTATACTTTTTACTTACTTTATATTTAAATACATACATATTTCAAATTCCTTTTTCATTTCAATGGCGCTTCCACGTGACTGTTTTTTAATTCTGGTAGCACTCCTAAGGCGACTTCGTTACTTTCTGGCAACCTTTTAACACGTTTTCGCTCAATTTAATTTTGGAAACCAAACGTGAAAGGACGCAGGTATAGATAGGTAGATAGAGTTAGATAGATAGATAGATAGATAGACAGATAGATATATAGAGAGAGAGAGAGAGTGAGTGAGAGAGAGAGAGCATGTATATAGATGTGTTTTTTGTGTTTGATTAAATTTCTATTGAAATATTTATTGATTTATTGCATGTGTGAAATCCCGAAAATCTGTGATAGTAGCCTTACATATCACATATGCGTTTCCCTCCTTCTAACAATGTCCTTCTAACAATTAATGTAACTCCAATAATACTAACAATTAATGTAACAATTAATGTAACTCCAATAATACTAACAATTAATGTAACAATTAATTTAACTCCAATAATACTAACAATTAATGTAACTCCTTCTAACAATTAATGTGTTCATATAGATGTGTGTGTATTCAATTTAATTTCTATTTAAATATTTATTGAATGAGTGCAAGTGCAGCTATGAAATCCCGAGTATGTGCTGTGAAAGTAGCCTTACATTTTACATACGTGTTTCCCTCCCTGTTGCATGTTCTTTATATGTATATTTCTACTTTATTTATGTTCTTTTAATTTCAAAATTATAATGTGTGTAGCATGTGTTTATATAGATGTGTGTATATTCAGTTAAATTCCTATTTAAATATTTATTGAATTTGTGCATTTGTGTCTCCCTCCCTGTAACATGTTTGTTTTCAGTTTTATTTATTTGTGTTCATTTACATTCAACTTTATTTTATGCCTTCGTGGAGGTCTTCTCACATAAAATACAAAAATGACTTGAAAAAACTGGTCCGTATTTACGTGACACATGAGGGAAACCACGAAAACCCCATGCAACCAGTCTGTTCAATCATTATGCATAAATTTATATACTATAAAACAAGAACTCAAAACTTTAAAAGTTTCGCGTTAAACAAGAAAGCATGCAATTTTTTACACGGTTAGCGTGTTTGGCCCCTGCGGGGAGACTATGTGCGCGCCTTCGGCGCGCACCAGGAGGGGGGCCAAACACACAAACCGGGGACTTTGCCTAAACCGACTGATCGCCATCACCTCACTGCGGCTTCGCCGCACTGCGGTCGATGCGATCACTATATTCCAAAAACAAGTTATGGCAATTCTAAAAAGTTTTGTGATACACTGCTTCTACAACTCTTTATTCTCATAAAAATTTCGATTCCATTTCAAAAATTATAGCAAGCACAACTCTTTCTGAGTGCTCCCGTTACAGTTTCCGAAAGAACATTCACATTTATTCAACTCTATTTACATTTGTTGAATTTGCTTTTCTAACAATTCCTTTCAACAGTTCAGCTTTGCTAACAGTTTGATGTAACTCTCATAGCTTTCTCACCGTTGAATTAGAACAATATCCGATAAAGTATTTTCAACTTTTCATTCCACTTTCAAAGGTGGTGTAAGCATTTTCCACTAATTATTTAAAAGTTTATTTCCTTGAACAGACTTTATTTTCATTCCTTTTTTTCTCAGAAAGAAACTGCATTCATTTACTTCTTTTTCCACTCTGTTTGCATCTGAAAGAAACCCTGAACAGATAAGGGACACTGTGTTCATTCTTTACTTCTGCGTGACGCACATAAAAGCTGCATTGAAATGCGCTTCGTTACTGGCGTTTGGTACCGAATTCACGCCCTTTTTTTGACTCTTTTCGAACCTGTTATGAATTCATTTCCATGCCATTGTCAATTCTAATGATTTCCTCATCCTCTGTCGACCCTGCGTACTTGTTTCCTTGTGTGTTTTGAATGAATTGTCGTTCAGTTCTGCGCGTCAAACTCATTTCCTCCCTGTACATTCGATATTCTGTGAACAATTCGATTTTCTTTTCACTTCCACATGACATGTAGATCGAAGTAGTTAACTCAAAAAGAGAGGGACACTGCATTCTACCACTCTTTCATTTCCTCCCTGTACATTCCATACTCTGTGAAGAAGACCAAACGTCAGTTTAAGAAAGTTTTCCATGAATGATCACGAACTGTTGATTAAAACTGACCTCAACAGTTTAGGTTCATTTATTTACTAGATTTTGCACTGAATAAATATTAATTTCTATGCCTCTGTTCCTGTACTTCCACGTATCTTATCTTTATTTACTTCTCTTATTTTGTGAGGCTACTTCCCCCCCCCCCCACACACACACACATTTTCTTCTGCAAAAGAGAATTTTTCGCCTTCTGTTTTTACATGTTCTTGTACGCGTTTTACTCATCGCTGAGATTCCTGTTATTTATTCCCATGTCCGTATTTTGATTAATTAAAGATTTCATTTTATTTTATTGGGTGTCTAGCCATTAATAAGACCTCACAATTTCTTAATCCCGTTTCTGTTTCTTTCTTTCTTTATTAAGATGTTCTTAAATAAGCAATTCATTTTTTTTTTTTGTTTAGGTAATACTGCGGCTACCTGCATGAGGGACGGACGTCTGTTATGCATGTTACAAATTCATGAAACCAATATTCAGCGATCCGACCGCTGCGCCGCCAGTTTCCCTGTAAGATTTCTTTTTATTTAATTAAAATTTTCGTAACATACATGAATGAATTCCATCGGATATTTTTTAGGATAATTCATTTCGGTTCATATTTTTTTTTAATTTAAATTTTCGTTACATACCTGTTTAGGTTTCATCACAGTTTTTTGCTATAATTTTTGTTTAACACCTAACACTTCTTTTGAGTATCATTTTCTTTTTCATAACTAACAGTTCATTACAGTAATATTTTTATGTATGTATACTTTTACTTACTTTATTTTTTTAAATACATACATATTTCAAATTCCTTTTTCATTTCAATGGCGCTTCCACGTGACTGTTTTTTTAATTCTGGTAGCACTCCTAAGGCGACTTCGTTACTTTCTGGCAACCTTTTAACACGTTTTCGCTCAATTTAATTTTGGAAACCAAACGTGAAAGGACGCAGGTATAGATAGGTAGATAGAGTTAGATAGATAGATAGATAGATAGACAGATAGATATAGAGAGAGAGAGAGAGTGAGTGAGTGAGAGAGAGAGAGAGAGAGCATGTATATATAGATGTGTTTTTTGTGTTTGATTAAATTTCTATTGAAATATTTATTGATTTATTGCATGTGTGAAATCCCGAAAATCTGTGATAGTAGCCTTACATATCACATATGCGTTTCCCTCCTTCTAACAATGTCCTTCTAACAATTAATGTAACTCCAATAATACTAACAATTAATGTAACAATTAATTTAACTCCAATAATACTACTAACAATTAATGTAACTCCTTCTAACAATTAATGTGTTCATATAGATGTGTGTGTATTCAATTTAATTTCTATTTAAATATTTATTGAATGAGTGCAAGTGCAGCTATGAAATCCCGAGTATGTGCTGTGAAAGTAGCCTTACATTTTACATACGTGTTTCCCTCCCTGTTGCATGTTCTTTATATGTATATTTCTACTTTATTTATGTTCTTTTAATTTCAAAATTATAATGTGTGTAGCATGTGTTTATATAGATGTGTGTATATTCAGTTAAATTCCTATTTAAATATTTATTGAATTTGTGCATTTGTGTCTCCCTCCCTGTAACATGTTTGTTTTCAGTTTTATTTATTTGTGTTCATTTACATTCAACTTTATTTTATGCCTTCGTGGAGGTCTTCTCACATAAAATACAAAAATGACTTGAAAAAACTGGTCCGTATTTACGTGACACATGAGGGAAACCACGAAAACCCCATGCAACCAGTCTGTTCAATCATTATGCATAAATTTATACTATAAAAACAAGAACTCAAAACTTTAAAAGTTTCGCGTTAAAAACAAGAAAGCATGCAATTTTTTACACGGTTAGCGTGTTTGGCCCCTGCGGGGAGACTATGTGCGCGCCTTCGGCGCGCACCAGGAGGGGGGCCAAACACACAAACCGGGGACTTTGCCTAAACCGACTGATCGCCATCACCTCACTGCGGCTTCGCCGCACTGCGGTCGATGCGATCACTATATTCCAAAAACAAGTTATGGCAATTCTAAAAAGTTTTGTGATACACTGCTTCTACAACTCTTTATTCTCATAAAAATTTCGATTCCATTTCAAAAATTATAGCAAGCACAACTCTTTCTGAGTGCTCCCGTTACAGTTTCCGAAAGAACATTCACATTTATTCAACTCTATTTACATTTGTTGAATTTGCTTTTCTAACAATTCCTTTCAACAGTTCAGCTTTGCTAACAGTTTGATGTAACTCTCATAGCTTTCTCACCGTTGAATTAGAACAATATCCGATAAAGTATTTCAACTTTTCATTCCACTTTCAAAGGTGGTGTAAGCATTTTCCACTAATTATTTAAAAGTTTATTTCCTTGAACAGACTTTATTTTCATTCCTTTTTTCTCAGAAAGAAACTGCATTCATTTACTTCTTTTTCCACTCTGTTTGCATCTGAAAGAAACCCTGAACAGATAAGGGACACTGTGTTCATTCTTTACTTCTGCGTGACGCACATAAAAGCTGCATTGAAATGCGCTTCGTTACTGGCGTTTGGTACCGAATTCACGCCCTTTTTTTGACTCTTTTCGAACCTGTTATGAATTCATTTCCATGCCATTGTCAATTCTAATGATTTCCTCATCCTCTGTCGACCCTGCGTACTTGTTTCCTTGTGTGTTTTGAATGAATTGTCGTTCAGTTCTGCGCGTCAAACTCATTTCCTCCCTGTACATTCGATATTCTGTGAACAATTCGATTTTCTTTTCACTTCCACATGACATGTAGATCGAAGTAGTTAACTCAAAAAGAGAGGGACACTGCATTCTACCACTCTTTCATTTCCTCCCTGTACATTCCATACTCTGTGAAGAAGACCAAACGTCAGTTTAAGAAAGTTTTCCATGAATGATCACGAACTGTTGATTAAAACTGACCTCAACAGTTTAGGTTCATTTATTTACTAGATTTTGCACTGAATAAATATTAATTTCTATGCCTCTGTTCCTGTACTTCCACGTATCTTATCTTTATTTACTTCTCTTATTTTGTGAGGCTACTTCCCCCCCCACACACACACACATTTTCTTCTTTCTTCTGCAAAAGAGAATTTTTCGCCTTCTGTTTTTACATGTTCTTGTACGCGTTTTACTCATCGCTGAGATTCCTGTTATTTATTCCCATGTCCGTATTTTGATTAATTAAAGATTTCATTTTATTTTATTGGGTGTCTAGCCATTAATAAGACCTCACAATTTCTTAATCCCGTTTCTGTTTCTTTCTTTCTTTATTAAGATGTTCTTAAATAAGCAATTCATTTTTTTTTTGTTTAGGTAATACTGCGGCTACCTGCATGAGGGACGGACGTCTGTTATGCATGTTACAAATTCATGAAACCAATATTCAGCGATCCGACCGCTGCGCCGCCAGTTTCCCTGTAAGATTTCTTTTTATTTAATTAAAATTTTCGTAACATACATGAATGAATTCCATCGGATATTTTTTAGGATAATTCATTTCGGTTCATATTTTTTTTTAATTTAAATTTTCGTTACATACCTGTTTAGGTTTCATCACAGTTTTTTGCTATAATTTTTGTTTAACACCTAACACTTCTTTTGAGTATCATTTTCTTTTTCATAACTAACAGTTCATTACAGTAATATTTTTATGTATGTATATACTTTTACTTACTTTATTTTAAATACATACATATTTCAAATTCCTTTTTCATTTCAATTCAATGGCGCTTCCACGTGACTGTTTTTTAATTCTGGTAGCACTCCTAAGGCGACTTCGTTACTTTCTGGCAACCTTTTAACACGTTTTCGCTCAATTTAATTTTGGAAACCAAACGTGAAAGGACGCAGGTATAGATAGGTAGATAGAGTTAGATAGATAGATAGATAGATAGACAGATAGATATATATAGAGAGAGAGTGAGTGAGTGAGTGAGAGAGAGAGAGAGAGAGCATGTATATAGATGTGTTTTTTGTGTTTGATTAAATTTCTATTGAAATATTTATTGATTTATTGCATGTGTGAAATCCCGAAAATCTGTGATAGTAGCCTTACATATCACATATGCGTTTCCCTCCTTCTAACAATGTCCTTCTAACAATTAATGTAACTCCAATAATACTAACAATTAATGTAACAATTAATGTAACTCCAATAATACTAACAATTAATGTAACAATTAAATTAACTCCAATAATACTAACAATTAATGTAACTCCTTCTAACAATTAATGTGTTCATATAGATGTGTGTGTATTCAATTTAATTTCTATTTAAATATTTATTGAATGAGTGCAAGTGCAGCTATGAAATCCCGAGTATGTGCTGTGAAAGTAGCCTTACATTTTACATACGTGTTTCCCTCCCTGTTGCATGTTCTTTATATGTATATTTCTACTTTATTTATGTTCTTTTAATTTCAAAATTATAATGTGTGTAGCATGTGTTTATATAGATGTGTGTATATTTCAGTTAAATTCCTATTTAAATATTTATTGAATTTGTGCATTTGTGTCTCCCTCCCTGTAACATGTTTGTTTTCAGTTTTATTTATTTGTGTTCATTTACATTCAACTTTATTTTATGCCTTCGTGGAGGTCTTCTCACATAAAATACAAAAATGACTTGAAAAAACTGGTCCGTATTTACGTGACACATGAGGGAAACCACGAAAACCCCATGCAACCAGTCTGTTCAATCATTATGCATAAATTTATACTATAAAAACAAGAACTCAAAACTTTAAAAGTTTCGCGTTAAACAAGAAAGCATGCAATTTTTTACACGGTTAGCGTGTTTGGCCCCTGCGGGGAGACTATGTGCGCGCCTTCGGCGCGCACCAGGAGGGGGGCCAAACACACAAACCGGGGACTTTGCCTAAACCGACTGATCGCCATCACCTCACTGCGGCTTCGCCGCACTGCGGTCGATGCGATCACTATATTCCAAAAACAAGTTATGGCAATTCTAAAAAGTTTTGTGATACACTGCTTCTACAACTCTTTATTCTCATAAAAATTTCGATTCCATTTCAAAAATTATAGCAAGCACAACTCTTTCTGAGTGCTCCCGTTACAGTTTCCGAAAGAACATTCACATTTATTCAACTCTATTTACATTTGTTGAATTTGCTTTTCTAACAATTCCTTTCAACAGTTCAGCTTTGCTAACAGTTTGATGTAACTCTCATAGCTTTCTCACCGTTGAATTAGAACAATATCCGATAAAGTATTTCAACTTTTCATTCCACTTTCAAAGGTGGTGTAAGCATTTTCCACTAATTATTTAAAAGTTTATTTCCTTGAACAGACTTTATTTTCATTCCTTTTTTTCTCAGAAAGAAACTGCATTCATTTACTTCTTTTTCCACTCTGTTTGCATCTGAAAGAAACCCTGAACAGATAAGGGACACTGTGTTCATTCTTTACTTCTGCGTGACGCACATAAAAGCTGCATTGAAATGCGCTTCGTTACTGGCGTTTGGTACCGAATTCACGCCCTTTTTTTGACTCTTTTCGAACCTGTTATGAATTCATTTCCATGCCATTGTCAATTCTAATGATTTCCTCATCCTCTGTCGACCCTGCGTACTTGTTTCCTTGTGTGTTTTGAATGAATTGTCGTTCAGTTCTGCGCGTCAAACTCATTTCCTCCCCCTGTACATTCGATATTCTGTGAACAATTCGATTTTCTTTTCACTTCCACATGACATGTAGATCGAAGTAGTTAACTCAAAAAGAGAGGGACACTGCATTCTACCACTCTTTCATTTCCTCCCTGTACATTCCATACTCTGTGAAGAAGACCAAACGTCAGTTTAAGAAAGTTTTCCATGAATGATCACGAACTGTTGATTAAAACTGACCTCAACAGTTTAGGTTCATTTATTTACTAGATTTTGCACTGAATAAATATTAATTTCTATGCCTCTGTTCCTGTACTTCCACGTATCTTATCTTTATTTACTTCTCTTATTTTGTGAGGCTACTTCCCCCCCCCCACACACACACACATTTTCTTCTGCAAAAGAGAATTTTTCGCCTTCTGTTTTTACATGTTCTTGTACGCGTTTTACTCATCGCTGAGATTCCTGTTATTTATTCCCATGTCCGTATTTTGATTAATTAAAGATTTCATTTTATTTTATTGGGTGTCTAGCCATTAATAAGACCTCACAATTTCTTAATCCCGTTTCTGTTTCTTTCTTTCTTTATTAAGATGTTCTTAAATAAGCAATTCATTTTTTTTTTTTGTTTAGGTAATACTGCGGCTACCTGCATGAGGGACGGACGTCTGTTATGCATGTTACAAATTCATGAAACCAATATTCAGCGATCCGACCGCTGCGCCGCCAGTTTCCCTGTAAGATTTCTTTTTATTTAATTAAAATTTTCGTAACATACATGAATGAATTCCATCGGATATTTTTTAGGATAATTCATTTCGGTTCATATTTTTTTTTAATTTAAATTTTCGTTACATACCTGTTTAGGTTTCATCACAGTTTTTTGCTATAATTTTTGTTTAACACCTAACACTTCTTTTGAGTATCATTTTCTTTTTCATAACTAACAGTTCATTACAGTAATATTTTTATGTATGTATACTTTTTACTTACTTTATTTTAAATACATACATATTTCAAATTCCTTTTTCATTTCAATGGCGCTTCCACGTGACTGTTTTTTAATTCTGGTAGCACTCCTAAGGCGACTTCGTTACTTTCTGGCAACCTTTTAACACGTTTTCGCTCAATTTAATTTTGGAAACCAAACGTGAAAGGACGCAGGTATAGATAGGTAGATAGAGTTAGATAGATAGATAGATAGATAGACAGATAGATATATAGAGAGAGAGTGAGTGAGTGAGTGAGAGAGAGAGCATGTATATAGATGTGTTTTTTGTGTTTGATTAAATTTCTATTGAAATATTTATTGATTTATTGCATGTGTGAAATCCCGAAAATCTGTGATAGTAGCCTTACATATCACATATGCGTTTCCCTCCTTCTAACAATGTCCTTCTAACAATTAATGTAACTCCAATAATACTAACAATTAATGTAACAATTAATGTAACTCCAATAATACTAACAATTAATGTAACAATTAATTTAACTCCAATAATACTAACAATTAATGTAACTCCTTCTAACAATTAATGTGTTCATATAGATGTGTGTGTATTCAATTTAATTTCTATTTAAATATTTATTGAATGAGTGCAAGTGCAGCTATGAAATCCCGAGTATGTGCTGTGAAAGTAGCCTTACATTTTACATACGTGTTTCCCTCCCTGTTGCATGTTCTTTATATGTATATTTCTACTTTATTTATGTTCTTTTAATTTCAAAATTATAATGTGTGTAGCATGTGTTTATATAGATGTGTGTATATTCAGTTAAATTCCTATTTAAATATTTATTGAATTTGTGCATTTGTGTCTCCCTCCCTGTAACATGTTTGTTTTCAGTTTTATTTATTTGTGTTCATTTACATTCAACTTTATTTTATGCCTTCGTGGAGGTCTTCTCACATAAAATACAAAAATGACTTGAAAAAACTGGTCCGTATTTACGTGACACATGAGGGAAACCACGAAAACCCCATGCAACCAGTCTGTTCAATCATTATGCATAAATTTATACTATAAAAACAAGAACTCAAAACTTTAAAAGTTTCGCGTTAAACAAGAAAGCATGCAATTTTTTACACGGTTAGCGTGTTTGGCCCCTGCGGGGAGACTATGTGCGCGCCTTCGGCGCGCACCAGGAGGGGGGGCCAAACACACAAACCGGGGACTTTGCCTAAACCGACTGATCGCCATCACCTCACTGCGGCTTCGCCGCACTGCGGTCGATGCGATCACTATATTCCAAAAACAAGTTATGGCAATTCTAAAAAGTTTTGTGATACACTGCTTCTACAACTCTTTATTCTCATAAAAATTTCGATTCCATTTCAAAAATTATAGCAAGCACAACTCTTTCTGAGTGCTCCCGTTACAGTTTCCGAAAGAACATTCACATTTATTCAACTCTATTTACATTTGTTGAATTTGCTTTTCTAACAATTCCTTTCAACAGTTCAGCTTTGCTAACAGTTTGATGTAACTCTCATAGCTTTCTCACCGTTGAATTAGAACAATATCCGATAAAGTATTTCAACTTTTCATTCCACTTTCAAAGGTGGTGTAAGCATTTTCCACTAATTATTTAAAAGTTTATTTCCTTGAACAGACTTTATTTTCATTCCTTTTTTCTCAGAAAGAAACTGCATTCATTTACTTCTTTTTCCACTCTGTTTGCATCTGAAAGAAACCCTGAACAGATAAGGGACACTGTGTTCATTCTTTACTTCTGCGTGACGCACATAAAAGCTGCATTGAAATGCGCTTCGTTACTGGCGTTTGGTACCGAATTCACGCCCTTTTTTTGACTCTTTTCGAACCTGTTATGAATTCATTTCCATGCCATTGTCAATTCTAATGATTTCCTCATCCTCTGTCGACCCTGCGTACTTGTTTCCTTGTGTGTTTTGAATGAATTGTCGTTCAGTTCTGCGCGTCAAACTCATTTCCTCCCTGTACATTCGATATTCTGTGAACAATTCGATTTTCTTTTCACTTCCACATGACATGTAGATCGAAGTAGTTAACTCAAAAAGAGAGGGACACTGCATTCTACCACTCTTTCATTTCCTCCCTGTACATTCCATACTCTGTGAAGAAGACCAAACGTCAGTTTAAGAAAGTTTTCCATGAATGATCACGAACTGTTGATTAAAACTGACCTCAACAGTTTAGGTTCATTTATTTACTAGATTTTGCACTGAATAAATATTAATTTCTATGCCTCTGTTCCTGTACTTCCACGTATCTTATCTTTATTTACTTCTCTTATTTTGTGAGGCTACTTCCCCCCCCCCCCCACACACACACATTTTCTTCTGCAAAAGAGAATTTTTCGCCTTCTGTTTTTACATGTTCTTGTACGCGTTTTACTCATCGCTGAGATTCCTGTTATTTATTCCCATGTCCGTATTTTGATTAATTAAAGATTTCATTTTATTTTATTGGGTGTCTAGCCATTAATAAGACCTCACAATTTCTTAATCCCGTTTCTGTTTCTTTCTTTCTTTATTAAGATGTTCTTAAATAAGCAATTCATTTTTTTTTGTTTAGGTAATACTGCGGCTACCTGCATGAGGGACGGACGTCTGTTATGCATGTTACAAATTCATGAAACCAATATTCAGCGATCCGACCGCTGCGCCGCCAGTTTCCCTGTAAGATTTCTTTTTATTTAATTAAAATTTTCGTAACATACATGAATGAATTCCATCGGATATTTTTTAGGATAATTCATTTCGGTTCATATTTTTTTTTAATTTAAATTTTCGTTACATACCTGATTAGGTTTCATCACAGTTTTTTGCTATAATTTTTGTTTAACACCTAACACTTCTTTTGAGTATCATTTTCTTTTTCATAACTAACAGTTCATTACAGTAATATTTTTATGTATGTATACTTTTACTTACTTTATTTTAAATACATACATATTTCAAATTCCTTTTTCATTTCAATGGCGCTTCCACGTGACTGTTTTTTAATTCTGGTAGCACTCCTAAGGCGACTTCGTTACTTTCTGGCAACCTTTTAACACGTTTTCGCTCAATTTAATTTTGGAAACCAAACGTGAAAGGACGCAGGTATAGATAGGTAGATAGAGTTAGATAGATAGATAGATAGATAGACAGATAGATATAGAGAGAGAGAGTGAGTGAGTGAGTGAGAGAGAGAGAGAGAGAGCATGTATATAGATGTGTTTTTTGTGTTTGATTAAATTTCTATTGAAATATTTATTGATTTATTGCATGTGTGAAATCCCGAAAATCTGTGATAGTAGCCTTACATATCACATATGCGTTTCCCTCCTTCTAACAATGTCCTTCTAACAATTAATGTAACTCCAATAATACTAACAATTAATGTAACAATTAATGTAACTCCAATAATACTAACAATTAATGTAACAATTAATTTAACTCCAATAATACTAACAATTAATGTAACTCCTTCTAACAATTAATGTGTTCATATAGATGTGTGTGTATTCAATTTAATTTCTATTTAAATATTTATTGAATGAGTGCAAGTGCAGCAGCTATGAAATCCCGAGTATGTGCTGTGAAAGTAGCCTTACATTTTACATACGTGTTTCCCTCCCTGTTGCATGTTCTTTATATGTATATTTCTACTTTATTTATGTTCTTTTAATTTCAAAATTATAATGTGTGTAGCATGTGTTTATATAGATGTGTGTATATTCAGTTAAATTCCTATTTAAATATTTATTGAATTTGTGCATTTGTGTCTCCCTCCCTGTAACATGTTTGTTTTCAGTTTTATTTATTTGTGTTCATTTACATTCAACTTTATTTTATGCCTTCGTGGAGGTCTTCTCACATAAAATACAAAAATGACTTGAAAAAACTGGTCCGTATTTACGTGACACATGAGGGAAACCACGAAAACCCCATGCAACCAGTCTGTTCAATCATTATGCATAAATTTATACTATAAAAACAAGAACTCAAAACTTTAAAAGTTTCGCGTTAAACAAGAAAGCATGCAATTTTTTACACGGTTAGCGTGTTTGGCCCCTGCGGGGAGACTATGTGCGCGCCTTCGGCGCGCACCAGGAGGGGGCCAAACAC